ACTGTACATTTCCTATATATTTTAATGACGTAGTCTTTCTCGTTATATTGTACATGTACAACATACGGCTATGTAATGTCACTTAGTCGATACATGAACTGACAGAAACGGGCCATGGTCTTGAAAAAAATAGTTTTATTGACAGTGTATCTTGTTGGGTTTGTTAATTATGCAAAACAGTTATTTTGGGTACCGGTTTCTGACAAGTGAACAAACAAAGTTCTATACACTGTACAGATCAACCGCTCAGTGCATTGTTTTAACGTTTTTACATGCAGAAGTAGTCAAGCGCTGAGCACCAAACCAAAGTATAACCAACTGTACTAAAACTGTCACGGTGAAGATCTCAGTAGGGGAATGTTGCGTCAAGAAAGTCTGACGTGAAGGCTTGAGGAAAAGTTTAACTGTCATAACCTTCGTTGAGTTCGTCGAGGGCTTTAAATAGCTGCTTTCGTACCATACTCTGAAGTCTTCGCCCCAAAACTAGTCCGTTGTGGCTGTCAAATCATGTAAACGCAGTCCCGGGCGGTCCAAGTCGTGTTCACGGTGTCAGTACTCCTGACTCGACACGCTCGATTTCTTCCTGTGCCCGTCTTGTGTCTTCTTGGGCAGTAGGCTAGATGGAATGTGCGGCAGCACGCCTCCCTGTGCGATAGTCACCCCCTTCAGTAGACTGTCGAGTTCGTCGTCGTTACGGACTGCCAGTTGAAGGTGGCGGGGGATGATGCGAGACTTCTTGTTGTCGCGGGCGGCGTTGCCGGCCAGCTCCAGGATCTCGGCGATGAGGTACTCCAGCACGGCGGCGAGGTACACGGGGGCGCCCGCTCCTATCCGCTCCGCGTAGCCCCCTTTCCTCAGGAATCGGTGCACGCGACCCACAGGGAACTGGAGACCGGCTCGAGCCGACCGACTTCGAGGTTTGGACCGGATTTTTCCGTCTTTTCCCCGTCCGGACATGTTGGAATCTATGTTACAGTACAAATTGGAACTTCAGGAAGATCTGAGGCGATAATTTTGGCGATGGACTTATTCAGCCGAGCTCCACATGCGGAATTCAGGCGACTAGTACCACGTCTACACCTGATGTTCTGATGATAGAGCAAACCATTGTAGATTGTAGGGGTGATATGGATAAAAATCTACGATATCAGCAGGATAAAAGTATTGGCCGAATCTCATGTAGTGACATAATGTCTCGTTCTTACTTTCAAGCATGTGCATTTTGGGGGATTGAAGTTTTTAGATGAAATAAAAAATCGAAAAAAGAGGGATCCCAACGTAAAATATGTCCCTGTTAATTTCTTTGGTAGCTGCCGTCTATTATTAGCATGGAACACCTGTGGAAATTCTTTCGTCTGTACAGGGTGGGAAGGGGTGGGGTGACTCAATGCTTTATGGGAATTTAGGCTTGTTACAAAATGGCCGCCAAGCAAGATGGCGGCTCATGAAGTACATGTTGGAAAACAGATCACAGTTCACCAGGATGACCACGTAAGACTACATACCAGGTACGTACAGACGTAGGATACATTGGTGCTTCATCTTTCATGTGACTTGTACCTATAGAAGAGCCAATTGCCCTGTTTCTGAACCTTTCGTCCTGGGAAACTGCAGTTTGTGCCCTCCGACGACATTAAAATTTGATCTGTGATAGTATGGTAGTTCGAAATCGCATTTGAAGTACTGATTTAATTACTACTATATGGGCCCTTTTAACACTGAAAACCTGAAAATAATCGGTGGAACCGATGTCGAGAAATTGAATCCACAATGTATTTGCCCCCCTCCCACCCACTGAACAAAGTGTGTTTACTTCAAGCGCTGGCATAAATTCAAAAATATGACACGTATCTTTTTAGAAAGTAGGGTAAAACTTCAATACATATATCAAACCAACATATTCCGGAGTATGAAAGAAATCAGGACTTTTGATCCAGAAATAGAGACTGTCAAAGTTGCTTCAAATTTGGGCAGCCATTTTGTTTACACCATGTGAACTTCAAGCACTGGCATAAATAATAAAACTTCAACTGATGTTCTGCAAAGTGAAATCAAACATGACTACATACATCACTCCAACACATTCTGGAATATGAAGGAGATGCCAACTTCTTATTTAGAAATATAGACTGTCAAACTTACCTAAAATTTAGTCAGCCATGTTGTTTACAGTGTGTGAACTTTAAGTGCTGGCATAAATTCAAAAAAATCAACTAATCTTGTTTAAAATGACATGAAACACAGTAAAATATATCCCCCCCAAACTATTCCAGGATATGGAGGAGATCCAGGTATTTGATGAAAAAAATATACACTGTCAAAAAGTTACCTAACATTTTTGGTGGCCATCTTGTTTACATTCCTCAACTTCAAGTGCTGGCATAAATTTAAAAAATCAACTGATCTTCTTTAAAGTCAAATAAAACTTAAGTACATATACCCCTTAAATTATATCAGGATGTTGAACAGATCTGTCTATATAATCTAGAATATTAATTTCAAAGTTACCTAACATTTTGGCGGCCATCTTGTTTACATTCCTCAACTTCAAGTGCTGGCATAAATTTAAAAAAATCAACTGATCTTCTTCAAAGTCAAGTTAAACATAACTACATATACCCCCTTAAATTATTTTGGGATATTGAAGAGATCTATTCATTTGATCCAAAAATATAGATTTTCAAACTGACCTAACATTTGCTTAAATTGGGCAGCCATCTTGTTTACAAGTGCTGGCATAAATTCAAATACATGAACTTATCTTGTTGAAAGTAAAATGAAACTTAACTACTTATATCACTCCCACATATTCTGGAATATCAAAGTGATCATGACTTTTGATCCAGATATATAGACTGTCAAAGTTGCTTAATATTTTGTCAGCCATATTGTTTACAGTGTGTGAACATCATGTGCTGGCATAATTTTAAACATATAGAATGATCTTCTTCAAAGTCAAATGAAACATAACTACATATCTCCTGTCACACCATTGCAGGATATAGAAAAAGATCCTTTCATTTGATCCAGAAATATAGACTCTCAAACTTCCCAACATTTTGTCAGCCATATTGTTTACAGTATGGGAATTTCAAGTACTGGCATACATTTCAATACCACAACAGATTTCTTTAAAAGTCAAATGAAACAAAAGTACATATGTAAGTCCAACATATTGCAGGATATTGAGAATGTACATGTTTTTGATAAAGAATTATAGACTATCAAACATGTTCAAAATTTTGTCATCCATATTGTTCACACTCAAAACTGCTTTGGGTGTCAACCATAAGCCTAGGGAGAAATTCTCAAAGAAATAAAGGATCTTTTCCCAAATAAAGTACAATTGTAGAACATATACACCTCTAACATATGTTGTAATTTCAAAGAGATACATGCCTATCAACCAGAATCATTTGCACACAAGAATGATACACCTAGTATTATTCATACATTGGCCAGGTCCCCCCTCCCCCACCTGCAGTAAATGTGTGTATTCATGAATGTTTGGATCTTATTTTAAACACTTATGACCATCTATGAGCTTCACAGCCAGTAATATTATTGTGGAATAGGAACTCATGATGGAGTATCAAGTTAGAAAAAGCCATACAAGGTCATTCATGGTGTATGAATAGAAATGTAATGCATGTACCAGAGGATTATCCATGCAATGTTATGTGATGCAGTCTGAATGTTGACAGTATTTCAGTTACTGATTGTCTGCAGAAAGAAAAGCAAATGGTACTTTCATCTGATTATTATTCTCTTTATTTTCTAGTTGAAGTACAGGACCAAGTGAGGTACTGGTTTGTTCTGCACCAGGAATGTGGAGTTCAACCCTGCCTAAGACACCAGATCACCTTCTATTGCTATCTCCAAGTCCCATTCATCATTAAATGTTAAAACCAGAATATTCATACTTTGGATTAGAACATGACAATGTATTTTAAAGATATATTGTTTATTATTTATTTTTCTTTATAATGGTGCTGATAATTTCATATCTATTTCTGGATGACTTGGGATTCCTCATCCCAACTTTACCTGGACCTGTAAGCAAGCTATACAAGTAATTGATGCTAGTGAAGCGATTGCATTGTTGGCACTATAATGTTCTATTTTATGATATCTAAAGTGCATGTGTATGTGGTAGGATCAATTCTGGTAAGACATACCTTAATTTATTGGAAGGTTGTAGATACATGCATTCAATAACTTGTTATGTCACTGTGTACAATTTTTAAGATATTGTTTTCATAAACCCAAGGTATTGCCTGTATTGTACCAATTTTTGTGCATTCCTTTTGATAGTCATTAAAAAAAAACTGTCATGGAATTGTCTGTGTTGCCTTATTTTTTTTATTCTTTTATAAATAATCAAAGTATGATTTCACAACAAGATGACACTTAAGCACAGTGGAGGCATTGGGGGGATGACAAGCTAGAAGAATCATGTTTTCACAGAAGGCAAGTATCCAATAATTTCCTGAAAATTATCCCAATACCAAGAAATTTCATTGGAATGGCCTAAGTATAAGTTTAGGATAAATATTTACATATCTTGATAATGATGTGTACAAAATTTCTAAAAAAATCAACAATCACAACTCAAAAACTCGCTAAGACATGTGATGTAGAACAGGAAAAAATTTGACTTTGCCGCCAGGAAGTCTACCCATCGTCCCTTGAGCGTGAAACGAGCCTCGATCTCGTGAATGCCGGCG